CGGTCTTCCAATAGGCCATCCAGACCGCGCTACAACAAATGCACTCCCATTTGCTTATCTTACACATAGCCATGAGCAGACCAGGTTCTCAATATACTTATGGAGACAGTCCATGCTACGAACGCAGATCAACGCAGTTTGCAAACGGTAACGACGAAGTATCCCACACGTGTTGCACACCTAACCTCGAAGACGCCACGTTAATGGTTGCAGATTGCTCCGCTTAACGGATGTTTACACTCAGGTTGTTGCATAAATAAAAACAATTAATTTCTGTTTTAAATCGTTTCTTGGATGATGCATTTGACCTGTAGGTTAGATATGTTTCGCAAATTAAATCGGTGTATATGAGGGAAACGATTCTTACTTGTGAATTAATATTTCACAGCTCATAACACCGCAAAAGAAAATCAGCCAATAATCTCATATTATCCGCCAGATTGAACCTGATCGGAGCAACCGAGTGGAGAAGCGAACTGGGAGCGCTGTTTGCAAAAAACGGAATTACCCACAGCATTACAATATGTGACACAGAACCAGAAGGATGTAATCAATTAACTGTATCATAGTGACATGGGAATAGTAAATTACTTAAGGGATAAGCATACTTCAATTTTCTGCAATATCTACACTTTCCTTTATGAGTGGAAATGACGCAGGCCTTTTTCTGAAGTGTAGTATTTGCATCAAGTTTGATTGGAAATGTTATTTCCATGATTCCTGATTTTGGTTACATTTTGAATGCCTTAGTCGGAACACTTTATCAACCTGAAATTCAGAAACCAGTTGGTTGAGCGTATCATGTTGCCAGGTTTTGAATCCAGCTCAGTTAGCGCAGTTAGCTCAAACTGGACGAAGCTTTGAAAAGTCTTAAATTTCAACATCCGTAGAAATGCATGAAACAAGGACAAATTGCGACATTCATCTACTTTGTATGAACTGTGAATCAATTCATCTGTGCTAAACCCTATGGGGCTACTGGACGGCGGTGCGTGAACCTCATAATACCTCGATAAATCAAGTGAACACTGCCTTCCATGAGGGAAAACTACTTTGGAACAGGTAAAAAAAAATTAAGTCTCACATTGTGATGGGATCAACAATGCAATGGGCAGTGGAATTCAGTCAAAGCCATATGCACATATTGGTGCAATACGAGTAATGATTATTTGATATACTCGATGTTTGGGAATAAAAATGTGTTTTTAATGTGCATATATGAAAAAGATGGGGATAAACGTTCAACGTTATTTCTCGCTTTGCTTTTGGTCCGAAATTTGCAGATACTTCACCACTAAAGCGAACAATAAAATAGCCATTTTTGTATCCGCATTGATATCTTAGCATCTCGATTGTCATGAATTGCTGTTAAAGTATTCAATCCGATTCAATTAAATAATCTTCCATTTATTTGAAGTCTTACTGGCATAAGTCAAGTTTACCCGTCTCTACTTTCATAATACCTACGAGTTTTATTTCATTTTGTTTTTCACATGGGCACTGCGTTCCGAATATCCCATTTTTTCGAACAATTATCGCAGTAGCGGGTATAAGATTGCATCAATTCCGATTGGGGTTGTTAATTCCTTATGCAAGCGGGGAACATAATAAGCACATAAAAACCCGGATGCAAAGAACGTGTATTCCATGCGATGTGAAATGGGATCAACGAGCTCAACTTTAAATACCTTCAACCTTGTAAACATGGAGAGAGAACCGAAGGCGAAAACTACAACTCAACGAAGTTCAACGGAAACCTCTCACAGTTCCAAAAGTTCCATCACCGATAAAACATGGTGCACATCAATGAATTAATAATAAACTGAGAACACTGGTAAATGTCACTTTAACATTATTCAAACGGATTCATTTTCGGTTTATTTTTCTCCAATGGATTTGGATCAATAAAACGGTATTCACGAGAAACGTAAACAGGAGGACACGCGCGAGTATGCATAGATTATTTTTTTCATTTTGTACACGCAAGCAATGTGTGAACGTTGGTTGTGCACTGTCAAACACTCGAATTGCAACCGTCATTCGTGTCCGATAATGCGATACAGGTACGCATGACGAACAAATCTCTACCGCTGAGTCAGAAATTGTGGGTGGGATGGAAGTCTAAATTTTTCTCACTGAACATTTAGAAATAACCTACGACCAGCAGTCTTGGTAATGAATACCTGCCAATTAGGGATTAATGAAAGCAAATATGTTTCCATGGGTAACGTGTACACAAGAATCCATGTTCATTCAATTTATTAAGAGAAATTTACTAGGTCGAAGTACTCATTCTATCAGAACAGTTACAAATAGCTTTTAACTGAAATTTGTTGCGAATTCAATTTTCTGCACTACTGAATTGTTTGTGTCTGTCAATTAAAATGTTCATTTGTGTGCTCATAAGCAATATAAGGATTTGGTGGAAAATCGGAGCAATTTATGGTGGGAGGTAGTTTACTTAGTGAAGTCTATATCATTTAGATTACATTGGTTATCTCGAAGAAAGCAAATAATCCCGCTACGGAAGATATAAGTATCATTCACAGGAGGCTCTTGCATTTTACTATTATTTTTCCGGTTGGCACTCTCATGTAATGTCACCATTGCCGGCTTATTCGTTCGCGTCTTCCTGTCGTTTTTGTTCCATCTCCGTTTGTCACTCACATTTAACTGCCAATTTACCAATGATAAAAATATTTTTGACAAGTGGAGCTGCGCAAAAAATGTAGAATATCTGCCACTAACATTTCCCCGAAGACAAAAATATTTGAGGCGTGAATTCACGCTTCACCAAATGAAGAACCGATATTTGTGCTCTCAAGTGCAAAAACAGCCACTGTAATCCCATGGGAATCATTGGAATGAACGGCCAATTTACCATTGTATATTTTGTGCCAAGTTATTACTGTACTGGTTCATACAAGCTTACTGCACTGACATGAAAGCATGGCATTTCTTCGGTCGGAACACAAGCAAAAATGGGGCAGTTCTAGTCACACTTGGCTAGAACGAGATCAAATTGTTGAAAAGAATTTATCATCGACTAATGCTTCAAAGAGTAAACCTCATTGTGAATAGCAATTAGACGCAGGGACAATAAGGAAATCATATGACGTAGTAAACTTTGTAAGATAAACACTGCTTCACTCGAAATATGCCGATCAATTCAGTTTGTTCAAATTACACGGTGTCAAACTACGTTGATTCTACTGACATCCTAAATGAAGTTACTCCTGTTCTTTCTGAAATTGACTGCTTGTGTACCACGTTACACACAGCAGTTGCTTATCAACCATGGTCTACTGTTTGCTCAGTCATGTTTACAAGGTCCCTGGGAAAGCTTACAGCATTGTTGCACCTGTTCCAGAAACTCCAGATCTCCATCCGTCGTGCGGATTAAAACGTTTCACAAAAAGGTTTTCTGAATGCACATATTTAACAAGGGTGTTCGTAATCAAGCTAGTAATAAATAACCATGAATGTACTCGTGTTTGTTCTTGCGGAACTTACACCAAAACATGATAAGCAATTGAGGGCCAAGATTTTGGACGTTCCAAAAAGTTGTAGGTTTGAGCCTGAAACTTGCGATATTTTGTTTCGTTTCGACTAATTCGAACGGTAATGGTTTTTCCGTGCAACGATGTGCGACGTTTAGCCAGCCGTTCTGAGCTGCGATTCCCTTGTGCATGATTCTCCACATCGGACTGACCCAACCAAGTTCCACTCGGATTACCCTCATCGACCAATTCGGTCCGGTCTTTGTTCGGTCGTAAATTCACAGGATCTTCATTGTGCGTGGACCCCGTCTGTCCGAGATGAACTCTTCCACTCCGCAGATTGAGGTTTGCCCGAACTAAACTGGGGCGGGTTGGGCTTGTCTTTAATTTACATCGAGCCCTTTGTTTAAATGGTCTCCTTGATGCGTGCGAACCCGTGGAAGAATCCTCATCCGGCAATATGGCAGGAGATTGAAAAACACTTTTCACTTTCCCTTGACAGTTATCCACAAACACAAATTGGCTATCCATGAAATACAACAAAACGATTCAGTTACGTGACCAAAAGGAATGGGAAATAATGAGCTTTCGCAACATGTATGTGAGGAGATGGTAAAGACGTTCGTATCCTCAGTTTTCTGCACCTTTGGTCCGAGTAGCAGTGAGCAAACATATGGGTCACGTTTCTGGCCACATAACGTCGGGCTAGCCCAGTTATATCCTCACTCGGATTGGTTTTCGAGTGAACCAATGAGCGTGGAGTAGGTTTGAAGCAGGAAACACAGCAACACACCTACTTGAGGAAATCATCTCTCACAATTGTTAGCCCATTCAAAAACTATGATCAATATTAGCATTACATCATTTAGGTGCAAACAGATATCCTCACGAACGGATTAAGAAACAATGTCCCCTCATCGGACAGATGTTCTTCATCATTTGATGGTTGGACAGTACTATAGTGTAGCAACATTTCAATCAATAAATTACAGTACAACATAATTACCTTTGGGAGAAAAACAAATTATCTATAGCACGTTGGCCTAGTGTGAACATCTCGTCTATCAATTAGATATTTTTTCAAAGATTGTGATCATATCAAGAAAGCATTAAGGTGATAGATCACACTGAAGCCATATCTGGTCAGCTGGCTTTAATGCAATAATTTTGGAAATTTTCTTTATTCTTAATAGCCCCTCTGAAATAACGTGATTTTGTGCAAATACTGCAATAAAACAACTCCTCCGCAAAGAAATGTTGAGAGATGATGGAATTGTGACTTCATTTCAACTTAAACTGGGACCCTTAAAACATCAATCTCGTGTATTTATTCACGAAACGATCTAGTACTTGTGCAAACAGATTGAGGGAACTCAAAGCGGATAAAAAATAAAGTTTTAAAAACGCTTCATGTCATTTTGGGAGATTGCATCAGAAGATCGGTCCGGTAATTTCACTAAACCTTACTTTACAGGAATAAGGCGCTGAATGATGAGCTTTAAAAACCAATGTTCATTGAGTTCAACATTCACAAGCTTGACAATTGTTACCTCATAATGCCACATACCATGAGACTCTTATGGTCAAACCAAAGAGCCACATTCGGCGTCACAGATCCTCTGACAATATAACTGTTCTGTTGTGAATAGAGACTGATAAACCAAACGCACCTCTATGATTACTGATGTTCACACATTCCTAAAAGGTGAACATAATCGATAAACCACGTTATCCTCAATTGCATAGCAAACCATTCCTACCAGAAAACAGTTGGAAACAATTTTTTTCAATTATTTTTTGAAGTGACTTGAACTCAAAGACCTTACCAAATGGCGTGTTACAGATGTTTTTCATTGTTGGGTCTGTCTTTCTGCTGCATGAAAGAACAACAAGCATGTAGCTTCTATTAAATCAACTGAGGTGAATATAATGACTGCCAAGTGCATTACTTCACTGCGACTCTAATCGCTTCCAAAATAATAGCAAATTTGGTCAATGGATTCTTACTGCTAGTGAGATCCAACCAGGTTGACACAGCTGTCAGCTGATTCCCAGGTTTCAGTTCACTCTTTATTTGCTCTTCACACGACGAAATTCACCAAATAAACATTCATGTTCCCCTGAGGCAAGCAAAATTATCCAATGCCTTTCGAGTATTGCAGGTTCAGAGGTTATAGTTTAACTTTATCCTTAAAGTAACAGTAGGCAGATGCTTTCACCAAGACCGCTTTATCTGGCTTGGATAGCAAAGATTATGAAAACCTGTTATCCACTATACAAAAACACGTAGAACTATTGTTTAGAATGATCGATTCCTAACATGGGAAGATCAATAAATAATGGCCTATTTTGGGGAACCAAGCCAAGGATTGAAGTAATGTTTGAGTTCATAACTGCGACGCAAATATACTCAACATCGTGATCCATAATTCAAATGACAGAGGCCGGTCTTTTCGTTGTGTATGGATTTGACGTTTACGAAGTGGTTCCTATTCGATGCCGGTCACCGTTTACCTTAATAGATACCCGAAGGAACGTTGTCTGCTAACATTACAGTGCGTATGTATGGAAATCAACTAGTTCGGTGTTTGCTATCGGCAGATTGATAATTTTGCCATCTTTTTTTGAGACTCGTTAAACTGACGGTGATCAGGATGTCAATGAGGAGTGAGTAACTCTCAAGCTATTCTATATGGTTAAATGATGCAAGTGAGGTATGTGCGTGAAAGTGACGTTTAAGGAAGGATCAGTCTAAATCCTAATCTTTAGACGTTTAGAAAGCTAGATTTCCGTTACACAGAAAGAAAAGAGAAAATGTTCGATGAAAACGTAAGCTACCCTTGGCATGAACCTTATCTTACAAAGAGTTCATATCTTGTGAATGTATTGTATCGTGTTGCATGATATTGTAGCTTTAATAATCGCCTAGTACACAGAATAAACTAAGCGCAAAATAAACAGTCCTCTTTTTGGCGTACTAGTTTAATCATCTAGGGTTTCATTAGCAATGCTATGGTATACCATCTATGGGTATTGTGCAACATTTGAGTCGGGTGCCCGGTAAACAGGTGAGAAGCACACTTGCATTTAAACTCGGTCCACAGTTGTAACATTCGGTTTTTATAGCTGATGAGACCCAACTTAGTCGCAACAACTGCATAGTATTTCAAGGCCTTTCTGGCCACGTTTCCGTAGCTACGATTAAAGTCCTTACTTCATCAAATCAAATAATCTGCCACTACACTATCAGAAAGATGTTTTGTCGAATGAAATCCCACTTGGTTTTTGGGATTTCCATAGATGAAAAAACAGTAAAAATATTTCTGATTGCTAAATAAAGCCATCGAGGCTACGCAATTCCGCGTATTTCAAACCGTTATTACAAGGTCATTACGTATTAAGTTGCAAGAGCATTAGAACGTCATTCAATTTTCCCGGTCAAAATCGGGGAACGAACACCAACGCATTGATGACATAGAACAGTTGCCAGTGACGACGTAACCACTTCATGTGTTTTATGTCATTCTGTTCTAATCTGCCAACAAACTGATTCCTCATTATTAGATACGTGTTTTATATTGCCCGCACAACACTCTTTTCCGTTGCAATGGTGTACAGATAAACTCACCGCAAGAATGTATTAACCAATAATTAGCATTAGTAAAAGTTAATAATAATTAACTGGAAAAGGTTTATTTTCGTAATCATTCGTTTAGGTAACAGCATGAAATTCAGGCATTCAATGACGTTGGTCAGTCAGCATCACAATCACGATGTTTTTTTTGGATAAAGAAGCAGAGGCTACCAACGTGTGGTACACAAACGCCTGCAATATCAAAGCTAAGTGGGGCGAACTGGAGGCTCGAACCTAAGGTTTAATTGTAATAACAAACACAGAAACGTGGATGCAAAATGACCATTTCACCAACTGCCCTTATAATTATGGGGTCTACAGATAGGATAGAGAGGATAGCAGATAAGGGGACGGAGTGTTGATATTGGTTAAGACTAATGTGCACAATTGGAATACACAACCCAAATTAACGGCAAATTATCGAATGTATGGCACGCATCAGGCATGGCGTCAATACAAGAAGGCTCGTAACAAGGCACAGGCTCTACAACGACAGGGAAAATATAAATTCGAAAGAAACCTGGCGCAGCACATCAAGCATAATCCCAAAAGGTTTTATGCCTACTTGCAAGCCAAAAAAATACAAAAGAAAGTGTGGGCACCTTGGAGATGAGTGGAGGTANCATCGAACCAAGGCAAGGCAAACATCCTTTTAGCCATTTTCAAGAGTAAAATATACCGTCAATTAGTGCAAAGGGATGTCGCGGAGCCCACTGCGGTTAGATACACCAACGATCAGTGAAATAATCATCAAAGAGATTGGTATAGCCAGAAAACTAGCGTCACTGAATCCACATACGGCTGCAGGGCCGGATGGAATACACTCTACTATAGTTCAACCACTAGCAAGGCTTCTGGGACATCCGGTAACCATCCTTTTTGAGCAATCCTTGAGGACAGGGTTATTACCAGAGGACTGGAGTAAAGCAACTGTTGTTGCTATATACAATTCAGGCCCTAGGCATAAGGTGAGCAACTACCGATCAGTTGGCCTGACATCGGTTCTGTGCGAATGCTAGGAACGGATCGTCAGGGGTCAGTAACCAACCATCCACAACCTCTTGGCACCACTGCAGCACGGGTTTACTGAGAGAAAAAAAGTGCCTGACCTTCTTGGATGAGGTTACTAAAAGGCTTGATGAAGGTTACCAGATCGAAGTCTGCTACCTCGACTTCTGCAAAGCCTCCGATTCTCTCAGGCATAAGTTGCTTAACCGTAAGCTACAAGATGCAGGATTAAAGGGGGCAGTGAGGAGTTGTGTCTTGCAGTTCCTCAGTCATCGCACGTTCTGTGTAAAGTTTGGCAACTATCTGAGCGAACATACAAGAGTAACAAGCTGGGTGCCTCAAGGATCAGTTCTAGGACCACTGCTATTTTAATTTACATCAATGACTTAACATGGGATCTCCAAAATCCCTGTTTCATGTTCGCAGACGATGTGAAATTAGCATGAACAAATCTAGAGTCCAATGAAGATGCGGTTAGACAATGGTTGATTTAGTATGACTTACCACTAAATCTCGAAAAGTACCAGCTCATAACCGCAAGAGCCGATACCGTTCGGGACCCGCAGCTGGCTCTGCAGCACACGAATGTAGTTAAGGACTTAAGAGTCAGTCTCACGAAGAGTTTCAAGCCCGAAACAGGTTGTCTGAAGGTAGCCAATAAGGCTTGTGGTGAGCTCTTCAGTTTGAGTACTGCCCTTACCTGTAGAAACGCAGAGGTCTTTATCATTTATCTACAAGGCAATAGTTCACCCCCATTTAGAATACCGTGTTCAGGCATAGAAAGGATACAGCATGCCTGGAGAAGGTGCAACAACTTTCTACCTGAATGGTAGCAGGGAAAAAGGAAAAACGCTGTGAACAGCGATTGAGGGACCCAAATGTTTTTTCG